GTGTTTTTTTCATTCCCAAACATATGGCCAGTCAAAGACAGTATAAATACCCAGAAGGAAATTTGTCCCACAGTTTTTCCATACTGGATTGTGCACATTTTATGGGATATCTAGTTGGTAAATATTTATAAGCATTTTGAATATTTGACATGATGGTCTAGTTAGCAATTTCATTTCAAATCTAGCATGCAATATTTCTGCTTTCTGCTTCCCTCCTTTCTCTCATCTTTGTTTTCTTTCCATAAGCATTTTTATTTAGGGGAGTTTTCTGTTTTCATGTTTATAACATTACTTCTTTTTATTTTTTTCCCCTGCTACTGCTTCTCAAATGCTAATATAAGCAATGCAATATTTCTCTCCATCTTGTATATGTATCTGTGATGTAGATTAAATACAAAGAGCCAAGAGCTCAAGGAGACATAAAAAGAGGCTCTGTGCAACATGCCTAGAGCCTTCATTTGCACAGCAAATTTCATGCTACCCAGAAATGCCAGATAGGTTCCTAGTCTTACTTTTTCTCGTTTCACTTAACTTTTTACTCAAACTCCATCACTCTGACCTGAAACTGCCCTTTGCTGAAAAAAATCTGGTTCGTTTTGAACAGATGTGGAGACATGACAGAGTTCATTTAGAACATAATCAACAGATAATAATAGGGTACTAGGAGAAATTGCAGTGAATGACAAGTACCATCAGCCTTTTCAAAACAGCAAAATTAGACATTTTTAACTCCACATGCACAACAGTGTTAGAAGAAGCAGGAAATGACTAATTTGGAATCCTTTTATTACGTTCTAGGGTTTTTTTCAAATGATATCGTAACATTCTCAGGCATTATCCTGATCCTTCTCTGCTCATTGCCTCTCTTGGAAATAAAATTCTGTTCCATGTGTCATTTGAAGCAGACTGGGTCTCTTGTGTACTTAGTTGTATCCTTCATCTTCCTCCCTGAGGCCTGACAGAGCTAGGCCTGTCAGGACAAGGCCTCAGCATCCCTTGGGTGATTTGCAGTTTTCATTACTGTAAAGATCCATCTGTTTTATGAACCTCATAATCCTCAGACTGCTCGAGTGTGGTAGTTAATTGGGGTACTCAGGAAGGCTTTGGGTTATTGTCATTGCCTGTGTCTGGTTTTGCAGCACTGCTGAGAGGGCTGAGCTGAATTATGTGTCTCCAGGCCTGAGTTGTCTGAAGCTCACTGCCTGTCCAGGTTTGCAGCCAGGATGGTTCTCCTCAAAAGATTTTAGACTGGGAGGGTCACAAAGTGCCTGGTTTAGGGGTCAAACCTGGCTGGCAGGGCAGTGGTGAGGTGGGGACTGTCCCTTTGCACTCCAGGACACAGTGGCTGTCTGCCCCAATCTATCCTGGCAGAGTCACAGAGATCCTCAGGGCTCTGATCTTCAAACACCTTGGCATAACATGGAGCACAAAGAATCACAGAATATTGTGAGTTGGAAGGGAACCACTAGGAGCATCATAGTCCAACTCCTGGCCCTGCACAGAACAGTCCCAAGAATCCCACCTCAGAGCTTGTCCAAACACTCCTTGAACCCTGTTAGGCTTGGGGCCATGACCACTGTCCTGGGGAACCTCTCCCAGTGCCCAACCACCCTCTGGGTGAAGAACTTTTTTCTAATATCTAGCCTAAACCTCCCCTCATACAGCTTCATGCCATTCTCTCAGGTCCTGTCACTGGTCACCAGTATCTGGAAATATCTATAAATGTGTCCTGGTTCTTCATCCCTTCCTCTCTTCCCTTGCTAACCTTTGCCTTGGGCTTGCAGCCTCCTGTGCTATGCCAAAGTTGAACTCCATCACCATCCCAGCAGGGAATGCAGGACCTCAGATGCTTCCAAATGAGTGAAATACAGACAATTTGCACGGTGCTGCCACATACGCCGATAGAGCTTGAATACTGCTTGTAAATAAATCTTCTTGCCTTCCTTGAGATTTTGACTGTGCGTCATAACTTGCAATTCAGTGTTTTCTATGCAGGTACATGATTTCTGCTTGCGTCACCAAAACTACACTTTGCAAGGCAGGATCAGAGAAGCTTGGCTGTCAGTCCTCTGCTAACCTCAGGATTTTAGGAGATACAGCCAATAACGTGTGCTTGAAGGGAGAAATCCATCGAGGTGATGAGAGTCATTGAGTGGCTCTGTTCTCCCGGTCAGGATGATCAGGATTTTCTGTGCTGACTGTGAGCATTAAGGAAGGCAGAGCAAAGATGACAGATGCTTTTGTCAAAGGGATCATCAGAAGACACAGCAGGTTCAGTGATCATTGAGGCTTGTCTTAACACATGAGCAGTCTCCTGAGAGCAGTAAGCTGCTCTCCTGCCTGGCTGCAGGATTGATAAAAGGCACTGTATTTTAGTTTCGTTTAGTTTAGTTTATTCTTTCTACAGCCTGTACCTTGGGCAGATTGTATGGCTGCTTGTGTATAGTTAAAAAACGGAGTAAATAACTTTGAATCAGGAAAACACTCATAGTCTCAGAAAATGTACAGAACCAGTAAAAACATTAGGCTTGGAGATGTGAATAAAATTGGGACTTGATGGAGTTTGCCAGCTGGATGTCTGCCATTTACAGTTGCTTTAGAAGCATTTTCCTAGTTGTTAACTTTCCTTTAAGAAAGCAGAAGAGGGAAAATAATACACACTAGTTATTAAGATGATGTGAAAGTAGTGATGAGAATTACCTAAAATGTGCTGGCGAAGAGATAAGTTGTAAACTTTGCAAACAGTACATAGACAAAGGTATTAAAGCTCAGCAGAGTTCTCACCTTTGTTTTTTTTTAGACCTGCTGGGCTAATTAAGGATCTCCATCACCTCTGGCAGCTAGGCTTTTCATTCCCAGCTTACTTCTATTTTCAGATCTATCTCTATTTTCTGTCCTTCCTAATTCCTGTCGTTATTTTCAGGCTGATATTTTTGTTTGGGCATCTCTTCTCTCAGTGAACAGGCCAAGCTTTCTCTTTATTGAAATTCATCTTGGTGTAGAGAAGATTAAAGCATGGAATTGATTTAGTGGGGAGTGCTTTGAAGCCATAAAGTACAATCTGTCTTTCATTTACATTTCAGACCTTGCTTCACCCCAGATTTGAAAACATTCACTCTACAAACCCTGTCTCCACAAAATGCTCAGGTACTAGATTTAGATGCAAATGTACCATCATTTTCTGCCTGAGCTGTAAGGGAATCTTAAATCTTAGTGCACTCACTTGGCACATTTACAGAAGTCGTGGTGGCCCAATTTCTGCAACAGGGCATTCACCCAGATAAAGATCTACTTGTTGCTCTTTTAGGTTTCCTTTTAATGTAGATTTGCAGGTTTTGCTGATCACCATTAACAACCCAATTAGGATGTGTGGGCTGATTACAGCACTCAAGGATAAAAAAGGGGAACCAAGGTTTCAACCTTCTTGGTAAAGAAGAGGTTGGAAACACACAAGTCAACTTGCAGAAGGTCTCGGCATCAAAATACCTATTATCCCCAGCTCTCCTTCTCAGCCTCTTCTCCTAAACACTGACCACAAAGGGAATGTGCTCTTTTCTGCAAGAATGTCCTAGTTCCAGCCCTGAAGGGTTTTCTGCTTCCCTGTACCTATTCAGTTCTTCTGTGCTGACTGAAACAGCTCTTCCCAGTCTTCAGCTTACAAAGTATGGTAAGTTTGGTTAGCAAAGTTGGGACACACACAGAGTAGAACCAGCCTCAAACCTATGACAAAGTCATTAAACCAACTTTTTTGAAAATTTCATTATCAAGATCACCCCAGATCTGCAGGGGAAAAACTGCCTGAAGAAGTTTAGCCACCTCTAATAAAATCCTACTTTAGACAGTACTGTTCTAATTAATGAATGTTTGTACACTGCTTTGAGATCTTTGTCTAACAAGGAAGGCTAATATGTTGCTAGGTATAAATTGTAGAATTAACAATTTAGAAAATACAGAAGCACAAAGTTAGGTTGTCCTTACCATTTTGTCAAAGCCAGGTATAACTAACATCTTTTTTTGGCTGCTGGCTTAATTAGATAAGCTGCTGAATTTAATTAACTCATCAAACCTAATTTGAAAAGATCTCACAAGTCAGTAAGAGCTTGTCTTATGCTTATTATTTGTATTTGTAGCATCCAGTCTTTAATATCACCATGTTGTTACGATATTAATAGTAGACTTGTGTTCTAATTTATGACTTTTACTCAGATGGTGGCATTTTCCTCATTTTTTTACATGTGAGCATGTGAAAATCAATCACAATTAAATTTAAGGCAGTGAAATTGTTCTTCTAACTCTCTGTCAATTCAGCTACATGCTATCTCTTTTCTCATAAGTGCAATTTGGGTTTGTAAGGTGAATTATTTCAAAGGAAATAGTTTTGAGTTTCTGAAGTCCCATTTCCTGGAGGGGTGTTATGACAAAATGATCCTCTGGATGCTTTTTGAGGACTGTTTAACCAAATTCTAAGGTAATAAATTTGAGACTGAAATTAGTATCACAACTTTATAATTCATTTGAACATATCTGTGTGTGATGTTCCAACTCTCTGTACCAGGCTGAAACTTTTTGAAAGTTACCAAAGATGGGATTGCTAGGAAAGAATCTAAATGGAACAATTTACTGTATATTGTAGCCAGTTAGTAGGACCATTTTTGGCCATAATTTTACATTCCTAGAGCTCTGCCACACAGAGAGGAGAGATCAAGTGATTGCTTACAATCAAAATGTCCTTAGAAATTATTTACATGTTGTTCTGTAAAGCTCGTTGTATTGTAATGCAAACAATGCTGCTGATAGAAACATCACTAATTAAGTCTGGAGGAGTTTATGCATATTTGTGAAAAGCTAGCAACATCCTGGGTGAAATCAAATGCTTTCTTACAGTTCTTTCACAGAAGTAATCTTGCTCACAATTGTTCTCTCTCCTTTTTTCATTTGATTATTTGCAACGTGCTTTCAAATATACTATAAAATAATTCGGTTTTCTCTGTTTTCCTTAGAACGACTATAGGAAGTTATCTATGCAATGCAAGGACTTTGTTGTTGGAGTGCTGGACCTGTGCAGAGACACTGAAGAAGTAGAGGCTATTCTTAATGGAGATGTGAACATACATTTGTACCCTGAGCACTACCGACCAAGTCTGAGCAGGATCAAACTTGCTATTAAATACGAGGTCAAAAAGGTAAGCAATTCCCTTGGATCCCTAGTGAACACCTCCTCACATCTAAATGATGCTTGCTTGATGTCACCTGACAATAATAAATGAAAGAGAGATTTCAGTGGGACCAGGGCTATTCCTAGATTTTTTAGCATTTTGTGGCTTGATTTGCATTTTCTCCCATCTTTTAATACAGAGAAGGTTATTTGCAAAGTGAAAGAAAATACTTCTAGAAGTATTTTAAACAAGTATTCAGTTTTACAGAAGTATATTCTGTGGATGGAAAATTTTATTCTGGCAAATTCTAGGCCTGGGTGGTCCCAATTAATTCCTCCTACAATATGCATTGATGGAAACTGGGCTCCTGCTACAGGACTTGAAGAGCGTTCCAAATTTTTGAGCTAACATCTGTTCTCTCTTTCCCCTCCCAAACCCACCACCTGCTTCATTTTGCCTCTTGACTGTGCTGCTGTGCTGGCTGCAGAAGGTCTTTTCCTGTTATGAAAGCCATTAATTAGAGAGAATCTTAAAACTCCTGTTTGAAATGAAATGTCTTCATGCAGGAGCACATATTATGGAGCCAAATATTTTCTCCTAGGATACTGTGTGTCTGCATTGTTCCATCACCAAACCTGAGCAGAACATCTCAGTTCACTCTTAGTTAGATGTCTTTCAACAAGCTGAGTCAAGTTTAGTTATTGAAGCTGTTGCTTTGGTAACAGAGGTCAAACTTGCTGTGCTGCTCTTTCAAAAAATGAACTAATCTAAAAGACTCAGCATCTAATCAAAGAACAGTCTCCAGTGATCCATGCCCTGAGAATCACCAGGATGTTGGTTATAACCTCAAGACTTCTCAGTGTGTGAAGTCTCACACATTATTTTGCTCATTTATTCTTCTAAATATTTGTGTCATCCTTTAGATACAAAGACCATTAGCCAGTGCTAATGTGAGACAGAGTTACTGTAATGCTTTGGGCACATCCATCCTGGCTTAGTTGGTTTCAGAGGAACATTCCTCCATTTCTTACCCTGTATATATGTGTGGCTTTGTGTAATGCATGAACACTGACCTAAAGCAACGATGGGAGGTCATGCACAGTTGATCTTTTTATGTATAAATACCTTCCTACACCCAGGAAAGCAGAGCATCCATTCTGGATCACAGCAACTTGTTGCTCACCAATGCTGACTGTTAAATTAATTACAGAATTTAAATATGAGCATTCATCAGCCTCATGTTGACTCTCCAGTTAGCACTTTTCAACAGATTCTTTTCAGCAGGCAGTATGTGTCTATATTGAGTATTTAACTGCTGACTCAAAAGTGGATAGTTCCATTTGTGGGAGGCAGAGATTTCAGATAAATGGCTTTGGTTATTGGCAATGGCATGATAATAGACTGATATTTATCACACTTACTGCACAAAGACATTGTGTTATGGCAACACAGTCATGATTCCCTTAAGAGGAAATGCATCTCAGGTGCAAATTTTTTCTTTAGTTGAGAGATATTTAGGTTTATGTACACAAATCCTGTGCTTTGAAATCCATTTCCATTTTAAGAAAATACTATAATAGAGAGGAGTGAGAGTGAAATATTAGACATATTTAACAAACCAATTCTTGGACAGATTCTGTAAATTTCAAGTCACTTTTTCAAAGCTAATGACTCATAAGGACTAGATTATGTCCAACTGTGTGTTCCTCAGAGACATGGAGCTCCTGTAGTGGGTCCAGCAGTGGCCAACAAAGGTAATTAGGGAGCTGGAGCATCTCCTTTATGAGGACAGGCTGAGGGAGCTGGGCCTGTTCAGTCTTGAGAAGAGATGACTGAGTGAGAACCTCCTCAATGCATATAAATATCTGATGGGAGGGTGTTTAAAAAATCTATTTCTACCACTACCTTCTTAATTCACATTTCCTTATTAGTACTCTCAGTGCCTGCATTAGACTTCCTTTGATGAAGATTTGCAGAGAACAATGAAACATATTGAAAATTATTATTTAATATCCATGAATTTATTTTTACAGCTGCTGAGGAAGTCACTATTTGATCACACTTTTATTTCCAGAGTCTGGGAAAGATGTCAAGGGCTCCCATTATCAGGCAGGAGAGCAATTATATCTGTAGACTTTCATTAGGCCTTTGAGCAATCTTTAAAAATCTTCCTTGTTCCTTTAAATTTCTATTACTTCATTGTGCTCATACAGTGCAGTCACCACAATGACAGTGTATAGGAATGGTATTTTTCTTTAATAGTAGCAGCTGGTCTAATAGCTTCTCCCACTCTCTGCCCAGATTACAGCCCTCATGGAGTTGTGGTGATGGCAAGAAGTTTAAGGCTCTAATATAACTGGAGGACTTTCTGTAAAAGATAATTGAAGAATTAAGAAACTCAGCTTGTGCATATTTTGCAGTGAGGAGAACGCTAAAATTACAGTAGTGATCTTTAAACATGCTGTATTACAGTAATTCTCTACACTATTTGTACCCCAGGATTCTTGGAAAAGTTCACTCAAATGTCCTCTATTCAAGTTTCCCAAAGTCATTTCTCCCTTCAGATTAGCTGTTTTAATGATTCATGATTCCTTGAAAGTTATTAAAATAGGAACAGTTTGTCAAGAACCAAACAAATAATTTTCAAACATTGAAACATTTACTGAGTCCTGGATTCTTTCCAGTAATTTAACGTTCAGCCCATGTTATGGGAGTGTTACAAATTTACCATTGCCTCTCCTGATATTATTTAACAAAGTTTTGCACTTGCATACTCCAGTCCAGCACAGATTTCTTTCTCTTCCAGCTGTGCAGGGAATGGGGCAAATGGAGGAGAAAAGTTTGGTGCAGGAAGAGCATCCAGGCTGTATCCAAGTGTTAGCTTGGTTACTGCAGGACAGGGCTGGGGAACCCTCACAGAGCAAATGCTGTAGTGGAGTTCAGCACCTGCTCAAAGAAATGGCAAAATAAAAAGCAGCATTAAGGTGGGACAGGAATGATTTAGGTTGGGTGGTTTTGGTGGATTATAATCAAAAGTGGCTTGAGTTGCTAAATTGAACTTCTTGGTCCCAACGATCATGAGCTTCATGAGCCACAGATACCTTTGGCTGCTCCTCACTCAGTCTTACAACACCTGGAAGTTTACCCTGTCTTCCTGACTGAAAAATTTATAACAAATGTGGTTTTTTCTTGGCTTGAAACAATCAAATCATTTTGGTTTTCGCCAGAGAATGGAAATAGAAAGGTAACACAGCTTTTCTCTCTGTATGAACTCATTTCTGGCTAAGCCAGAGTGTGATTTCTACCCTTGGGAGGGATAGGTACAGAGGCTGAGGATACCTTTGGGTAGCCAATAGTGAGAAAATGAAGTCTCACAACAAAACTGTTTTTCTGCTGTATATCAGCTGTACAGAGCCCTTCATATTTTCTGTCCTCAGTCTGTACCTCTATAATCCTTTCTTTTCTCCCTTTAATGTTGGCAGAACACTTATATGTCAACATTTGCCTTTAGGTGTAAAGCAGTTGCTTCACTGTAGGAGGTGACATTCATTTTCCTTCTTTTCCAATGGCAGAATGATCATTTCTGTATTCTTTTAATTGAAAATGTTGAGTGCCCACCTCTGTTTTCTCAGCAGCTCAGTTCATACCCACCACAAAGCCAGAGTACCTCTCTCTTTCACGAGTTTTAATTTAATTAACAGTAAGACACACAAATTGGGTTTGAAAATAAAATAAAAAAAATCAGAAGAATTAAACAGAACACCAGATGGCTGTGTAAATCCTATTTAACAGAGAGCTGGAACAGGAACTTTTCTCATAACTATATTATTAATAATTAACATATGGAGGATGCTCTGAACAGAATACTTATGACTGCATTAGATTATAACTTCTCACTGCATTGGTCATGCCACTCAGATACTCAAGTGCATAAGAAATCTCAACTGTCATCAAGAGCTGCAAAAATCTGTGCTCCTCATTTGGTCACCCAGAGGTTTTACCCTGCACAATACCTGGTGCAAGAAATACCTTCCAGGGTCCTTCTCACCACTGAATGAGGCTCCACTGGCAGCATTTCCAGCCCATGTGGGAGATGGAGAAAGTTAGTGCCTGAACAGGCAAAAGAACCAGCACTGCTTGTGCTGAAGAGACAGCTCTGCTCCCAAAAAGGTGCAGGAACAGACACTGCCCCAAACACAGACTGGGGCAGAGCTCCACTAGCACATCCTTAGGAAGGTGATGCAAGAGAAGCACAAGAGAATAAACTGGAGAACAGAAGGCAGGAGAAACCCAGGGATGACAAAAAGTTCTGACATTTCTCCCTTTGGTGAGAAAGGAGTTTATCTGTGCCATGTGCCATGGTGGGTAGCTATGGCCTGGTGAGATCTTTGTGCCCTCAATTTGCAGTTATCCTTCAGCTGTGCCCTGTGGAGGGGACACCTCAGGGGAAAGGGGAGAGGGTGCATCAGGACATGCTGCCCACAGCCTCATACACAGCCTACACACTAACCTTAGCAAATATGGAAAAGTACATTTTGGTAATCCAAATTAAACATTTCAGCTCCACAACTTTAGTTTAAGAATTTCTCATAGAACAAACATTGAGCTTTCAGTACCCCAATGGCTGTAACATTCACAGATCTGGCTTGGAACAGGTCAGGGTTATGTTTTATCATCTAAGTGTGAAGCCTCAAGGAGAAGAACTCCTCAAGCAAAAGGCTTTCAAGAAGTTGACATTTTGTTTCTGTAGTCCCTGGTTGTGCTTTTTCCATTCTTTAGCTGAGATCTTGTGGAGTCATTGACAGCTTGGACTGTGGCAGTGGGAAGAAAAATGCCTCTTGTTTCCATCACTGCAGAGCCAGTTGATACTATACAAATGTAATTTAATATCTAAGTGAACAGTAGAAACACTGTGGTCATTCTGACTCTTAAGCTTATCTATGCAATTTTTCTTTTTTACCTTTTTGATTGCACATTGCAGATATTTTGTCAGAGATTGGCAAGGGAAGGAGTCACTTCCCTTTGCC